TAGGGTAGGAGGACCAGGGGAAGGTAGAGACTAGGATGGAATTATTAACTCGGTCCCCAGAGAGATACAAAACAGCCTGAGAACGTTTAGAATGGAGGACTGTGGTCGCCAACCCTCAGATATGGCGACAGTACTCTGATTGATTATAATAACTGTTTTAGTTTAATAATAAAATTCATTAATAGAATAAAAACATGAAAAATGGGGTAAAATGCTTGTTACAGTGTAAGTTGCTGTGTGGTAGACAGGAGAACCACGAAGGAGGGTGAATGAAATAATACGTAGTGGAGTGTGATTTTTAACGGCTTTTAATGATCAAATATTTTTAAACCAAACCAATTTTAACCATAAAATATGTAAATAAACTGATGAGAATGTTTTAAGACTAACCACAAAAAGAGAAAATGTCTGTTTATGATGGATGGTGGAGGCGGTGAGGGTTCATACTACTTTATCACATCTAATCTTTGTTCAAGAGCTTTAGCTTTTCTTTGTTTCAATTCACTTCCACTACCACCACTATCAGAATGCTTCACACCCTTGCCACGCATTGTAATGACCTGTACTTTTAATTTTATCCTCTTCGTCACTGATTGGCTCATTAGCTGCTTGGGCAGTCGGTCACATCTCTGTTACACACTGTTGACGAGTACTGCCTCCTGAATGTATCTGAACCTGCTCCAGTGTTGGTCAAGTCTGGCCTTGAAACAGCTCACACTCGGTGCTGTCATAACACTCTCTGGCAGATTGTTCCAAGCGTTCACAATTCTCACTCCGAAAAAGTTAACCGTCACAGTTTTCTGTACTTGCGGTTTCTTCAACCTTAAGCTGTGACCCCTTGTGGGGCGGGCATCCGCCAGCTCCATGTATGGACACTCGACTGAGTAGCGCCCTCTGAGATGTTTATAAACTTCAATTAGGTCAACCCTTGCTCGCCTATAGGAAGCTAGGCAACTGCAGGCATTCTAATCTCTCTGGGTAGCTGAGGTGCTGTAGTGCAGGCACCAGTCTGGTGGCCCCCCTTTGGACATTTTCAATCAACTGACAGTCTCTAGCATATCTCAGGGACCAGACAGGGTGACGGTACTCCAGACAGGGAAGCACCTCACTCTTGAAGAGCATTACAGGTAGTTCTGCTATAACGCGATAATTGTGTTCTTGTAAAATATCGTGTTATAGAAAATCGCGTAATAGAAATAACAGGGCTTATGGAGAAAATAGGGTTAGGTGCAGATTACTCGAAATCGAAAAAATTTAGTAGTTAGCCTAACACAAAGGATAGCACAGTCTAAATAAATGTTACATTCATATCTAATAATGAAATCATACAGTAAATTTAACACTTTACCTTGAAAAAATATGAATGTAACTTGATGGGGGAGAAGGGCGATTTTGAGGTTGATAACATCGAGCTTCTCTTCAAGTGTTATATCCTTTCTTTTACGATAATCACCGGGAATTCTATCATCAGAACACTTTTTGGAGATATTCTTCTTTACCTTATTCACAGTTAATACCACAAAATTGGAGAAATAGTAAGCAAAAATCGCGTTATAGCAAACAAGCGTTCGCGTTATACAAATATTGTTCCGAATTCATAAATCGCGTTAGAGCAAATGCGCGTTATCAAAACACGCGTTATAGCAGAACTCACTGTACTTTTACTTTCTTACTTTTATCGTTTTCGCCACTGATCAGATCATTAGCCGCTTGGGCTATTAAGTTGCTTAATTGACGTTCTTCTCACAATGGCCTGAGAACTTCAGTTTGTTGTCAACATACACACCCAGGTCTTTTTCACATTCGGTCTGTAATGCCGTTTATGTGATACGCCTCCTTACTGTTGGTAAGACTCAGGTGCAGCCTCTTACACTTCGTGTCATTGAATATTAGCAGCCATTTCTTCGACCATTCTTGAAGCGGACAGATATTTCTGCAGCTCTTCATTGTCTGTTTGGTTCTTAATTTCCCTGAATAACTTGGCATTGTCTGCAAACATTTGTATGGAGGAGTGTATAGCTTCTGGCATGTCATTTATGAAACAAACAAACAACAATGGGCCCAGTAATTATAAGCAATAAAGTTGTTACACTACAGTACTAAGATAAAGCTCTGTCCGTGATCACAGACGTTTAATGTGTATCAAAGATAAAACAAAGACTGGTGGAGCATCCCGCTTTATATAATGCTTCGCCGAGGGGAACGCATACAGCATATTCTTAATCGAGTGACATAGTTCTGTTTACTCAATCACATTATATAACTAAATCACATCCGCGCTATAGAAAATGTGTTCCCTAATACCTGTATATTCATTGCATTATAACCAAATCGCGCTATGAAAATACACGTTATAGAATTTACTGTAGTCATACCTCTTATAGTGATCTCTTAAAATGCTGATTAATTATAGTACTCTTCATCCAGGACACTTATCTACCACTCAGTGACACCCCAAGCAATACAGGGGTTTTCAAAAGGAACATCTTCCTGTCTTTTTGGAAGTAATGGGTTACAGCTGACATCTTTCAAGACTAATTTGTGTCATGTATCTGTCCTGTGATGAAGGGTTAGTGTGAGGAAAAAAGCTTGGAGCCCAGAGCACTACTGCTACTTGACAATGCCTCCAAGTCCCTCAGAAAACCTCGACACTACACCCTGGTCTTCCTCCCACCCAACACTACCAACATGGACCAGGACATCAGAGCACACACATTCAACCAGGTGATGGACTTTACGGACATCCAAGATCGATCAATCAGGGATTTATGTAAGTCATACAACATAATGAAGGTAATGAAAGATGAGAGCTTCATGGAAGGGCATCACCAACAACTGCATGAATAGTGTGGTTCATGGAGGGGCATCACCAACAACTGCATGAATAGTGTGGTTCATGGAAGGGCATCACCAACAACTGCATGAATAGTGTGGTTCATGGAGGGGCGTCACCAACAACTGCATGAATAGTGTGGTTCATGGAGGGGCGTCACCAACAACTGCATGGATAGTGTGGTTCATGGAGGGGCGTCACCAACAACTGCATGGATAGTGTGGTTCATGGAGGGGCGTCACCAACAACTGCATGGATAGTGTGGTTCATGATGTGGCGAGAGACATGTTGTGGCTTCCATAGGTTTTAGGATGCTGCACCTGTCATCACTAGGGACACTTCAGCTGCCCACCCAAACTGTGCAAGACGAAGTTGACACAGAGAACACGGAGGAGCTGATGCATTCTCACGGAGAAAACCACACTAACGAAGAGCTAGGAAAACACAATGCTGTGGAAGGAGAAGAATGGTGAGTAAAATCCATCAAAGAACTTGATGCTATCCCTGTTGTCAGAGGCCATCACCAAGATCAGTGAGGGCCTTAACATGTTCTGTCAGGCATCTCTTCTACCAGGTAATGTTGCAAGAGAAGAAACGGAGGGTAAGACAGTCTACCTTATGCTTACCTTAAGAGGCCAGCAGACCGAGTCACAACCTTGCCTATCTTACCAGTAGCAGCTCCACCCATCTTGTCTCCCACTGCTTCAAGCTCTAACTGAATGCAGTGGTGAGGACAGTGCACATTTTATTTTTTGTCATTCACATTAGAAAATAATTTTCTTTGTTATAAAATGTTTTCATACATTCATCATGTTTCCAATATTATTATTATTGATACTCCAGTGAAGAGGGCATATACTGTACTATAAGAAGAGGTGCTGCTGGGTAGGCATCTCCATTAGAAAAATGCTATAATGACTTTTTACAGCACTGTTTCCATGTAATGCATCTTGAGTTGAGTGCTGTAAGAAGTATGAATGTATACAGTATCATTCCATTAATTACAAAGGGGAAAATGGGGTATAGGACCAGACACAAAATATACTAAAAAATGCCTTTTAGACATTCATTTCAGTTAACATTGGTAGAAGCTCAGCAGTGAGGCTCCACTGTACAGGTAAATCCAGTATATTTCTATCTTCTAATAATATTTATGAAGCATTGTAGGTGATGATAACTTAAAAACTAATGATATACAGTGATCCCTCGGTTAACGAACGCCTCAGTTAACGAAATTTCGGTTAACGAACTGCCTTCCATAAGAATCTTCAATTCGGTTAACGAATTTCTTACGAACCGACCTCAACATGTTTTCGCTTGCACTGGCCATGCAACCAGCTTTAGTATCAGTCCGCCAATACATTAATCGGTTCTAGGGCTTAAATTCCTTATTATTTTAGTAAATATCAAGAAGTTTATACTATTCAATAATTTTAAAAGTTTAATATTCAATTTTTTAGTCATTTTAACAATTATTGAACATAATTGAAGGTAAAGTGACTAGTTTAATGCGCGGCATCCAGCCTCTTAACACAGCAAACAGGCGTTAGTCTCTCTCTGTTTTCACTGGAGGTAACATCTTGCTCGAGACTCTCTTCAACTAAATGCTTTTTTTCTGTGTTTCCAAGCAAATTATTGGTCATTTTGAAATATATTTTACATATTGACAATGTATAATGCAGTGCAGTGTTGATTTAAAGAAAATAATCTTGAAATACACCAAGAGAACTAAAATTTTATGGGTGAAATGGTGCCATGGGGTGACTTCTCTTCCACCCCAATGCCTTCTCTTCTTCCTTCTCCTCCACCCCCATTCTAATTCCCATCATCATCATCATCATCATCAACCAGGAGCCTTCTACATACACACCTCAAAGTAAGTGAACTTTTCTACATTTTTGTTGAATTTAGGCAATTTTCGGTGAGCTGGAACCAATTACCCAAAAACCCATTGAAACAATGGTTTCGGTTAACGAACTTTTCGGTTAACGAACAACCTGCTGGAACGGATTGAGTTCGTTAACATTGTGCCCCCTTACCTGACCTACTGACTCCACACTAAATCATCAAGTCACCCCAGGATGCCAGAAATCAGTTGCCAGAGATTAAATATAATTTAATTCTTATCAATTAATTGAGCACAGTATTTTTGGTAATGATCACAAAGTTGAAGAGAGCTATATTTTATTAAGAAATAACCGTATAAATAAAATAAGTGACTATAAAAAATAATCCAACTAACCAATAAATCTAGATTGGGAACTTCAGCAAGTACAGTAGCTAAAAAAGTATCTGTGCATACTCTGTGTGAGACCATAGACGAGAGGTATTGGGATATGTGTTGTCTACTTATACTATGTGTTAGTAATTACTTAATCGTTTATTTTATTCCTATATGCCAACTCACCCCGTGTTGCATACTGAATGGTGGTGGGCGAAGACACGCGTACCAACCCTCCCGAGACATCACGAATTGTACGTATAATTCTGGAATCATCGGACCCACCCTGTCAGATACTTCTTTTAGCTACTGTACATCATCTTATTATGACAGCAGAGATAATGAGTGTAAATCATATACTTCTGTGAAAGGATAATAGTTTATATATAATTCAAAGTTGTAATGTACAGCAGGCAGTAAAATGAATAATTCTGTATAGTAGTAGTAGTTATAGTTTAAGTTGTATTTATAGAATATTATGAAAAATATGAAGGGGGAGTTCTCTGGTTTGGTTACACAACATACAGTACAGTAAGGAAGAGGCAGCTTACTCCCCCATCAGTTGCCAATGATACTTTCATCAGACTGTGGAGGACTATTATCACCAAAATGTATCATGTCATTGGTTAAGTGATGCCTAATAGCAGTACTGTAATACTTCTCTTCAGTGTTCTTGTCAATTCTTTGTACAGTAGATGGCCAATGACACCTTCATAAATTATTCTGTACTGGATGTTCTCTTGTCTTTAGATTTTTTTTAACACCTTCCAACTTCCTCATTTGAACACCTGTAAAACACACAATGATGCCTGGGGAATATGGGAGAGTTGAGTAAAATACTGTACTGTACTGTACACACCTTACCAGCACCACCAACAGTTTACAGAGAAAGAAGCCAATGCCCTTTTGACCAACTGTACAGTACATACTTATAATGAAATACATCCCAAGCTACTGAACATAATTTTCTTATTTCAGAAAAGAAAGACAAAAAAATTTGCACGTGTATTTACATATATGGTCAGTTGCTCATAAAAATATATAGTACTGTACTTTTATAATTTGATTATCATTTACTTAGAGTACTGTTTAAAATTTCTATCATGAGTTATACTCAAATTTATCATCCTATTATTTTTATGATACAGTATTCCTTAAAACAAATGTTGTACAGTACTGTACACAGGCACAAGAAAAAAACATTATGGGAAAAAATCTCTCCGTTAACCCCACTTATCCAGACGCTGCCAAGGAACAAAAGTACAGCATATTTATTCTTAGACTTGAGGAGCATCTTTAACACGATTACAATTTTAGATGTTGAATTTTATTTCTTATAAGTTTATATTTTTCCTTTAATTATTAAACCGACTGCCAGCATCAAACACCAAAAAGCTTCACTATTGTCACCCGAGAAAACCTTAGATACAAGAAGGACGTTGAGGAAGACACAAGTTATAATAAGCAGCTGGATCCCAGAAATCTGGTCCCTTCCAACAACACCAACCTTTAGTCTGAATTGTGTTGAGGTCTTCAGACCCGGTATAGTGGGGGTCAAGAATAAGAAAGCTTATATCTCCCGTCTGTGCGTTCCAATCGACACCGATGATGGTATGAGCAAGAACGCCGCCCCCGACCATAATTGGAGTTCCCTGAATTTGAAAATGCATCAATAGTTCACGTCCTTTACAAGTCAACTCGGCCCCACTGCTCACAAAAATGAATTTTGAGCTAATGCCGAACATGTTGTCTAACACATAACCAACTTCGGTCGAACCAATCCACTGACGCGAACCGAGGAAACTAGACGGTTTGTCGCCAATGTCGACTAAACATTTCTGGATTTCTTTATGCGTTGGAATAGGTTTCTCCGTGTATCCCTGATATCTAAACCACGATACTAATGTTTGAAGAGACCGATATGCACATCCCCATTTGTTGTCATCAAAGCGATCCTGCATATAGTGATGGTACCCATATGTTCCCGGAACAATTCTCACGTCCCCGTTAACTTTTGAAGGTTTAACACCAACGTGAGTGTTTGTCAAAGCTGAAGACTTACTGCCCGGAGCTGGTGTTAATCTATTTGCCCATCTCAACATAGGTCGATCAGATGGGAATAGCAAAGCTCGGTGAACTGATTTTCTGTATGTTTCCAAATATTTGTCATCAACATCATTAGGATATATAACATTTACTACATGACCAGCAATAAAATGTAAAGAGTTGACTGATGTCAATGTTCCACGCAGTTTCTTGTCTGAAACTTGCTCACCTAACCAAAACTCTGCTAAAAGTAATTGTTGAATCACTCCTTGTGCCAAGAGCTCAGCAATATGTGAAATCTGAGTTGATTTTTCTAAATATACAACAGCTTCACCACTAAATATTGTTGATAAGACATTAGTCTTTCTATTATCTATTCGAACTACCGGTGCATCTGTTGATGTCTCTGAACTTCGATTCAACATAAGCTGGAAAGAAACTACAATATAAGGAGTTGTCTTCTTCTTCCCTGAACCTTTGAACACTGATGCAACCGTCTCTTCACCATCACTGACTGGACCTCCAAGTGACAGTATCCCCTCTTCACTGTTCTCTAGTAACAAATTAGTATTGTGTAGCCTAAAACATGCAGCTGGTGACTCGAGTTGATCTCTTAAGCTTTGGATCACATTCTTGATAGATGATGAGGTTTCTTTTGAGCTTAAATCCAGGGAAAAGTGTACCTTTGCCAGAATGAAACTTTTATAGAATTCTTCTTGGGAGAGAGTGGCATAGTTTCCAATGGACAATCCTTCCTCTTCCTTTGAGTAAGTGTGAATCTCTTGTTGGTCCCAGATGACTGCAACTTGCCCACTCTGTAAGAAAAACCTTTTTCAAATAAAAATTTACAAACGACCTACAAAGCAACTTTAATTTTGTCTCTCTTGCTGTTCCTTTCTTGAAGATACAGTACAGTTATCATAATCTGTGGTTATCTATATATAAAATGTATGGTAGGTCTTCTTCCAAAGTTTTCTGCAGTGCCATATAAGAGTTTCCTCAAATGTAATGATTGCTCACCACCTACACTAGTACAGCACTGAGATAGATTACTGTATATTTAAAGCTTAAAAGAAATAAGTTTGTTGGTTTGTTTGTTTCCATATAGATTCAAAGACTGCCAGCTATTTGTAAGTGTTAAATAATCTTGGCCAATTATGAGCATGCAGACATGCATCAACCAACACTGGAGTCTCTAGTATTGGTGGCAGTGTTTTAGAGAAGAAACAACAACAACATCTACTTGTAGAGAACTTCTACAATAGATGTTGCCTGTATAATTAGAGATAACATCAGGGTTATGTAATTATCATATTTGCACATTTATGTACATGATAATCCACGTTGGTAGTGAGAAAGGGGGAAGGCTTCCAGCTGTCTTCCTTTACTTTGCTGGAGACAAAGTGGAAAATATATTAAAAAGACTCGGTCATAATAAAAAAGGGAAGTGCCGTCTAAACTGGAAAATCCTGGTTGGTCAAACTGGAGACTACATAACAAGGGTATAAGTTGTGTACAGTAGGATCACAGTTATCAGGGCCAACTGCAAGATTCAACTTATGGCACAAAAATGAAATAATAAAAATAAAAATTTCTCCCAAATCAGAAAGAATCGTAGGACTGAATACTGCGCTCAACCGGAGATGAGCACTGATTGGTTCTTCCTGCCAGCGCTAGTTGACCAATCCGTCACTATGCCGTACAGCACCAACCCCTTCGAAGTTTCCCCCTTTTTGGCGGCGGTTGCGAGGATCATCGCCCCGATTATCCGTGAGATCAAATGAAAAGAAGCGAAGACGAGTAGTGTTAACGCTAAAACAGAAAATAGAAATATGCGAGACTGAAGCAAGGAGAGAACCACCAAAATCTGATAAACGAATTTAATATTGGTTTGTCAACTTTGTAAGACATCAAGAAACAGAGTCAGCAACTTGAAGATTTTTTGGTACATTCGGAGAGAACGAGCAGCCTCGAGAAAAGACATACCTTACACATGCCGAAGCTAGAGAGTTTGGCTGCAGCACTGTTGGAGTGGTTTCCTGTGAAGAGGTGTGAGGGTGTTTCTATATTGGGACCATTGTTGCAGGAGAAAGCAAGAGAGCTTCACACCAAGTTACAGGTAATGCAAGATTGTGCCTTTTTCATAAGTTGTTTAAGCTTCGCCGTGGAGTTAGTAAGCTCGACATATCTGGCGAGCAAAAGTCTGCCGACGCAGTCTGTGGAAGAGTTTTGTCAATTTTTTGCCAAGTTGGTCGAGGAACAGACTTGCTCTCCCACTGACATAAATGCCTGCAATCTGCTCCCAGACAAATTAGAGAAAATCAGACAGATTTTCCAAGAGGAAGTGACGTAAGTTTTCATCGTTTCTACTTTTTACATTAATTCAGAGATGTACTGTCTTATTTGTTACTAACTCTTGTGTGAAGACTGGGGAGCACAGTATGGGTAGCCTGGATATTTAATAACAGGAAGACACAATGACCAAGAAGGGAAAAAACCACTGGCAGGCAGACACTGACAAGGATTGTGGATTTTTTCCTAGAATTATGCTTCTCGTCACCATCATTCTCTCGGTTTGTTTTTAAATTTTGCATCATTTTCATCATTATTTCACTTTGAACATCACTCATATACAATAAGAATCTAGTGGCAGACTGTCCAGGTTGTAACTTTTATTATTCACAAAACAAAACACTACAAAAAATATGATTAATCTAGTATGGCGCTCAACCCTAGCCAGGCCTCAATGTCTCTTCTAGGTCGTACAGCGTTCCCGACGACCACCGTACCGCTGACCATACCTCGTGAATAAACGGGACATATACCCGTCCAGTATCGACTTGCACGTCCAGTCATCCACCTGCTCGCCCGTCCACCAGTTAATATTACGTCCCGTCCCAGCCATACAGCAGCACCACAGTGGTTCCTTAAGACCGACTCTGTTTACACATCATTAATCGTTTGAGTTGTGAATGTTTTACACAAACGTCCCCAAAAGGACTATTATAAACAACATCAATGGCATCATCATCATGGCCAGAAAAAGTGGTTTGTAATTTCTGTTCAAAAACCTTACTGAGGAAAAACTTGGACCGACACACAAAATGTGCGCACAATACCAATGCATTGAAATACTCATCTGCAACTAATTGGGACATTAAAAATTAGTTTTCTGTCAAAAACATTAGATCAGAGAAAACACAACATGTGGAGACTGGACTTAAGGATGCTAGCAGTGATACAGCTCACCGGGTAGACTCATCTTTCGGTGCCAGTACTAGCAAGAAAGTAAAAACGGATCATGAAAGTGCTAAGCAACATAATTTAAAGACTATGCTGATCAGTTTGGATAATAAAATAAGTTCCTTCATTGATTCAAAATCTGAAAAAGATGAACCTCATCGTGCTGATCATACAAATTATCTGTACAGCCCGATAAAGAAGGACTACCTAGACTTACATCACCACAGATACCCGAGTTGTTACCAGCCGCTAGATCAATTGACACAATTATGTCTCTTCTACCGTGACACCGGATGAGACTGGACTACAGTGCAGTACGTGTAAATCTATAATTCGCTACGATTTTAATAATGGTACTAAATTTACACTGAATGAAAAGATTCCATCTTTATTTTCCCATCTGAAAGAATCACTTGGACGTGCGGTACTGTGGTTCTAAAGGTCATGAGAAGAACACTGTTTTAACCTGTAAAATACAGTAAAGTCTGGAGAGAAAATTATTAATAAACATCCATAAGAATGTGGTTTATCAGCAGTTTATTTTACATATAAAATCGGTAATTCATATCAGTCTTAAGAAGGACTCATATGTCGCTGCTGGTAATGTTGGTGTTAAGAATCACTCCCAGTAGTAGCAGAAATATTTTTGATCCGTATTCAGCTTTCAAAGGTTTTTGTAGATTTGTTTCTGATATTTCATTTGTAGATAAGAACATTGACTCCCTTAAAACTCTCTATTTGGACCTTATGTGATGATTGATAACACAACTAATTCAATTTCTATGATGCGCAACACAGGAGAAGTGTTGGACGCACCAGAGCTTCTTAAAAAGGCTGACCAATGTAACAAGTACGAATGTTAACTTGGTTCATTTTATGTCTTCAGTCGTTTCCTTCCCCACATCTGAAGCTGTTGTCAGTAGTAGATAGTATCATCAACAATAAATCGAGATATAAAGAACAAGACACCACAGCTGCTGACACACTGACCTTCATTATGGCTCAGCAACAGTAATAAAACTGTTTGAAGAACACTATGCTTAATGTACAGACGAGCTTAATATAACAACACTAGAGCAGGAAGCAAAATTTACCGTATTTGCCGGCACACAAGACACACCACCGCATAAGACGCACCACCACATAAGATGCACCACCACATAAGACGCACCACCTCATAAGACGCACCACCTCATAAGACGCATACCACCATAAGGCAGCACCACCACATAAGGCAGCACCACCACATAAGGCAGCACCACCACATAACGCACCACCACATAGGCAGCACCACCACATAAGAACACCACCACATAAGGCGGAGAGCGCCACCACCACACCACATAAGGCAGCACCACATACCACATAAGCGCACCACCACATAAGCGCACCACCACATAAGACGCACCACCACATAAGCACCACCACACGCACCACCACATAAGACGCACCACCACATAAGACGCACCACCACATAAGACGCACCACCACATAAGACGCACCACCACATAAGACGCACCACCACATAAGACGCACCCCTATTTTATAAGGCTATTTTATGGATTTTCTTTAGTACGTTTCATCATACAATTATTGAAAGTGATTTTAAAGTTGTTTTGTAGGGTAAAACATATGATTTTGTGCATGTAAATACAATGTACAGTAAAGCGTCCGATAACAACAGTTCGAGCAACAACTTTTCATATTTAACACCTTAGTTAAATTAGGACCCAGTTCAATTTGCGTCCTTATTTCATTCGTATTTACGACCAAAATATAATAAAAATAATATATAAAATTACATTTTCATATACAGTGGTCCCTCGGTTAATGAGCACAATCCGTTCCAGCAGGTTGCTCGTTAACCGAAACCATTGTTTCAATGGGTTTTTGGGTAATTGGTTCCAGCTCACCAAAAATTACCTAAATTCAACAAAAAAGGTAGAAAAGTTCACTTACTTTGAGGTGTGTATGTAGAAGGCTCCTCGATGATGATGATGATGTGAATTTGAAGTGGGAGGTGGATGAGAAGGGAGAAGAGAAGGAAGTGGGGGTGGAGGAGAAGCATTTTACTGCTTCTTGGAAGGTGAGTCACCTTCCATGAAAATGTCAGGAACCTCTGGGCTGACAGATTCTCCACCATGAACATCCTCTCTCCTTCTTGAAGTGGAAGGCTGAGGGATAGCATCTTGTTCCCTCTGCCTTTTACTGAAGAAAGTGTCAATTGTGGTCTGTGGGGCATCTGTACTCCTCACCATTAACTTATGTTTAAAGAAGGAGACCACTGAGTCCTCAACATGACACAAAGTTAGTTCAGTTTTTCCACGTCTGGGTGCTTTGAAGCCAGTTCCCTGAACTTCTCCCAGTGGTAAATCACATCTTTCAACTGTTTAGCTGACATATGGTCATCACTTTCAATTTCCTCCTCACCACTGTCAGCCTCTACCTGTAACATCTCATCCAGTTGCTTCAAGTCATCAGGAGTAAGTTCCTCCTCATGAGACATCACAAGCTCTTCTACATCATCCTCCTCCACTTCAAGGCCCAATGACTGACCAATGGACACAATCTC